TGTTCCACTGGCAAGGCTAAGAAGCTATTCTCACTCTGGGACAATTTAGTGATCCGCCTTGATATTTGGCACTTTATGAGAAGAATTTCTGCTGGATGTAACACAGAGGCCCATCCACTCTATAGTGTGTTTGTCGGTCGTCTATCACAATGCATCTTCCAATGGAGCAAAGAAGATCTGGATTTATTGAAGTCTGCCAAAAGAGGTGAATTGCAGATTCAAGGTGTTGCTGACCCTTCTGATGCAGCCATTAATGAAAAGATTACACGGAGAGAATTGGCTCTACATTGCCGTAGGAGAACTCGGGGAATTGTTGACACTACGATAATGATTTACGATCTATTACTGACATTTACTGGTCCCCAGGGATGTGATACTACTGGAGTACCTTTGCTTGACAAGACCCGCGTATGGGAAATATGGGACAACCAAAAGAACCACATTCCATGCATCCAGGACCCTGAGGGGGTGCAACTGTATACAAAAACCGGGGTCTTGACTAAAGGTGGTGTCCAACTTCCAACTTATAGATGTGCAAGAGGTTCAACATCTTTGGAGTCATTCCACCTGCATATTAATAGATTCATACCAGGTAACAATATCTGTGTAAAAAACTTAACATGTCCCAAATACTACAGTCTATAACACTGTTTTCATTTATTTTAGGTACTTCAGCAAGTGACATTCATTTTCAAGCTTACTTGTTAGATGGCCTGATGAGATGGAATTCTGATCATTCTTCTGCTGCAGTTTCAAGTACTGAATTAGGACCAGAAAGCTACAATGGATTATTAATACATGCTGTGAATGAGCTAAGTGAAGATGTCCTTGGTAAGAAAGTCAAGCCCAATGTTCAGAATATTGGAATCTATACAGGTGAAATGATAGGAGTTGAGTATCTCTTCAATCAGACTGGTGAGATTCTCAAGGACAACACCCTGCTAGATGAAGATATGACACAACAGGAGGAAGAACCTCTCTCAGATGTTAACCCAGACCAAATAGATGAAGGATTTAATGAAGATGAAGATGAGACAATTGCACCTGCAGAGCAGGTGTTTACTGCGCCTTTGTGTAATGAAAGAGGTAAGTGTGCATTGTCCACAAAATCTGCCTTTCCTGAATTTTAAACTGAGAATGTGAATTTACATTTAGACTCAGATGCTGCCAGTACTTCTGATGAAGACTCTGCTGAGCTTGCTGGAAGTGATGCAGAGGTAAGTTTATAGTATTATTTTGTAGTACTTTATACAAGGAATCAGGTAGTAAACTCTGAATTATTACAATTAATTTGTTCATAGGACTCTGCTGGGCCTGACAACATTCAGGGATATGGAGAAGTTCAGGCTTTAGCAGCATATTTGGTTTTTCTGAGAGAGGGTAATATGGTCTTGTCCAATACACAAGCCAAAGAAATCATCAGACTGTGGAAAAGCCTTCATGAATATGACCAACAACCAACAACATTTGCTCCACGACAGCATACTACACTGGTGAAGGGAAAGCTTAAAGCTCCAAAGAGAAGGAGTACCAATGTTGTACCAGGGCTGGACAGTACTAGGAGGTGAGCTACTGTACGGCTAATGTTGTAAATATCACACAGGACTCTTTTTTCATGTAATTTGGTTTTTCTTTCTTTAAGATGTTTTCTAGGCTCCAACAGAGCTCCAGCCCAATGGCCAGATTGTAACAGGTACACTGAGGCAATTATATCTCAACTGTGTAATCTGCATCCTGGGCCAGAGAAATCAAAGAAAAAAACAACAAACCGTTGGTCTCTTGTGTGTAAAGACTACAGAGGCATACAAGAACGTGTTATGAACAATGGCATGGTGATGAGAGAGACACAGATTCAGCTACCAGATATAAACCAAACAACATTAAGTCAGTGGTATATCAAGAGACAAAAGAAGAAAGAACAAGAAATACTTAAACAGGGACTACCTCAACGAACTGAACCAGCAGCATCAAAGACACCTTTACCAGCAGCCATACCACTGCCTCCGTCTCTGCCACAAGTCAACTATCCTGTGCCCTTTAAATTTGTATTACCAACCAATACCACAGGAACAGCTGTTCTCAGAGGTCAAACTTCAAAAGCTTGCCAACCGATGCCAATTCTTCCAGCTCCTGTTCCTCCTATTACTTTCTTACAGCCACCAACAGTAGTCAGAAGATTTCCCCCTGTTCCAATACAATCCAAAATACAAACACAACACCATCAGCCTCAATCTTGGCAACAAAAGTCTCAATCTCAACCATCAGTACACTCAAAGCAAAAAGATGAAACAAGGACTACTCAGGAACAAAAGGCAAGCACCAGTCGTAAGCGATCCTCCTCGTATAAC